AAATGCAGCTAGTCCCTGATTTACATCCACAACTGAGCCCAAAACTTTTATTGCTGAACATGGCAGTTGTTAAGTGAGTCACTGTGGATGTTAAGTGAATCGGGCTTCCCCCCTTGACTTTGCTTGTCAGAAGGTCGCAAAAAGGGAGCACGTGATCCCAGGGACACTGCAACTCTCAGAAATACGAGCTGGTTGCTAATTTGATCCTGTGATCCTGGGACCGCTGAAGCTGTCGTAAATGTGAAAAATGGTCATAAGTCACTTTTCTCAGTGCCATTGCAACTTCGAATGGTCACTAAACAAATGGTTGTAAGTTGAAGACTGCATGTGATTTATGACAAGCATGGCTAAGGATAAAACATAAGTAAATGATAATGTTACAAACAACATTTAGTTAGGTTTTCTGTTTTCGTTTGTCCTGGCAACATTTTATTTGCTTCCTACTTTTGACTTACTCCTTTTCTATGTTTTTTTTTCAATGTTGCAAAAGGTATAGCATCAGCTGTTGCAAAAAAACAGAAACAAAAGGCACACAAAGAGATGGTAGATAACCAACAATCTGACTTGGTCTCCCCACACATCATCCTTATGAAGCGTGCAAACCAGTGTCTGCATTTCCTGTGTCAAATGAGGAGAGCACATCTTTCTCCTTTTTCCTTCTGTCCCAGCCACTTTTTACAGAGGCACAATTGAGAGTGTTTTAACAAACTGCATCTCTGTTTGGTTTGTCGGCAGCAGTGCCTCAGATAGAAAGTCCCTACAGAGAGTGGTGAGAACAGCGGAGATGATTATAGGATATTCAGGATACTGCTTACAAGCCCTTTGTATTTGGAGCTCAGAGCACCCCACACACCCACTTCACCGTCTGTTTCTGTTGCTCCCCTCTGGGAGGAGATTTTGAAGTATTTCTAGCAGGGCTGCCAGATTCTGTAACAGCTTTGTTCCCTAGGCTGTCTGGCAGTCACAAGATTCGTTTTTCTTGCCATGTACATGTATAGGTCCAAATCAGTGGTGAAATTCAATTTTTTTAACTACCGGTTCTGTGCGCATGGCAAGGGAAGGATACTGCAAAATCCCCATTCCCTCCCAATCAGCTAGGACTTTGGAGGCAGTGAATAGATTAGGGGTGCGGCCAGCCAGAGGTGGTATTTGCTGGTTCTCCAAACTACTCAAAATTTCCGCTACTGGTTCTCCAGAACCTGCTGAATTTCACCCCTGGTCCAAACTAGACTGTTATTTCCCTATGTCATACAATGTATGTGGGTATATGCATCATTTTGTATTTATTTATTTTGTTGTGTTTATATAGTGTAAATTGGAGGTGGAGACCCTTTGAGAGCTGTAGGCAACAAAATTTCATTTTAATGTATGCCGATCAGTGTACATTCAAAGTGACAATGTAGTTATTCTAAGACAGGTATGTCAAACTCAATTTCATTGAGGGCCACATCAGGGTCGTGTTTGACTTTGGGGGAGCAGGAGAGGAATGGCCAGGGAGGGCATGGCCAGCTCAATATCACTCATGTCAGGGGCACCTGTGGTGGCCCAAGTGCTCTGCCAGTGAAAATGGGGTCCTGAACTCTGTTTCCAGCTGCAACAGCCTCCTGCAATCCTCTGCCAGTGAAAATGAGCTGTGGGGGGTGCATGCAGCTCTCCTGAGCTCCATTTTCACTAGCAGAAGCACAGCCACTCCTTTGCTGTTTCCAGGGTGGCCCCACGGGCCAGATCTAAGCACCCCGCAGGCCGGATCTGGCCCCCGGGCCTTGAGTTTGACACCCCTGTTCTAAGACTAAGCCCTGGCAGTGATCTCCTGTTAGAACCTCCAAATGAGCTCAAGATGTTGGCCTCAAAAGACTTATGAATGGTCTGATAATGAACTCCAATCAAACAAACATAGTGACGATTAATTGAATGCTTTACACCACAGGCAACCTTCTTGTGAATGTTGTGTAGGCATTTCCTGAGCTGCTGCTTGCAAAAGTCTCTTGTGTCTGTCCGGATTCAGAGGTGTAGCAGGAAAATGTGGGACTGGGTTTAATCCCTGTGCTTGCCTCCTCCATGTAGAGACCCTTGGAAAAACCCGATGGACTGGACGTCTCGGATCAAAGCAAAGAACACCCTCAGCATCTCTGCGAGAAATGCAAAGTCCTGGGCTACTACTGCCGCCGTGTGCAATAAAGAAACCCACGGAGACTGGGGTCTACCACCACAGATCCTGTGGTGGTAAGCCAAAAGGGAAAGAGGAAGAGCCGTCATCTAAGAACCTTCATCCATCATCAGTATTGCCTAATCTAATCATATGCCTTTCTTTTAACTGAATGTAACATTTTCCCTGTCTATGTACGGACATACGACATGTATCTGTAGGTCTATGTGGTGTGATGCGTATTCCTTCCTTAAAGGTCTCGCAAAAACAAGCCATGTTTTCATATGGGTGGAGACCAACTGACCACTGGCTCTTGCTGAACTATACCTGCCATACTCATGATGGATTTCCACCGCTACAGTGGTTTCCACTGATTGTTTACACAATTCCAATATTCTACCCCAAGTTGAACTAGTGTTGTTTGTCCAGACAGATCTGTAAGGTCGGGAACATATGCTTGGATGAATGGTGGGATGGGGTGGGATCAGGCAGGCATGACTCAAGATGCATTTTATGGGGGCAGTCTATAAGTCTAAATGCTATTGATAAATGCTTCTTTTAGCTAACGTTGTCAACTAGAATTCTTTAAAGCTAAGGTTTTCGAAGGAATTAAGGATGTGGTGCAAATCAGTGGTCGGATTCATCCAGTTCGCACCTATTCAGGAGAACCGGTTGTTAACTTTCTAAGCAGTCCGGAAAACTGGTTATTGGAAGAAATTTCATTTTGTTTTTTTCCATTTTACAGGACTAATCTTGTAAGGAAGGTAGGAAGGAAACATTCTGGTGTGGTTTCTAGCCTAATCTTTATTGCACTGCTTACAGAAACTGCCTCTCCAGTTCACACTTACTACATTGTAACAGCTAAGGCGAAGCGCCCATCAACCTGAGTGACATTGAGTTGGCCACGTGCACATGGTCACATGATCACCAAGCCACGCCTACCCAGCTGGTCATTAGGGCAGAGAACCGGTTGTTAAATTATTTGAATCCCACCACTGGTGCAAATATTCAGTTTTCTTGACTGGATCATCTACTAGCCTGCTTGCTTTCCAAAGGTCTCACAGGGCTACTGAAGAAAGACTTTTGGTGAGCTTTAGGGTGTGTGTTTTTTTAATCGGAGGGCTGAAAAGAACAAGTGAATAATTGTCTGACGAGTGGTTTTCATGGAAGCGTGACGATGGTAGAACACGTAGTGTGGGAA